ATTCAGCTACATGCCAGCCAATGCACAGAAATGTGATTCTAGTCCTCATGGTTACAAAAACAAAACAAAACTCTGAAAAGCCTGCAAACAGTGACCATATGATCTAAAGACCTGGAAGCGAAAAGGATTGACAAGCAATGTCCTTTGATTGTGTTGCATTTCACATTTCTATTGTAAGCTGCACTGTGAAAATGCAGTTGGAGCTAAAGTAAAATAAAGGTTCACTTAAAAGCCAATAACACCTAAATAAAATGTCATTTGTTCCATTGGTGTCAGACACACAATACAGTGGTGCCTCGCAAGACGAAATTAATCCATTCCGCGAGTCTCTTCGTCTTGCGTTTTTTCGTCCTGTGAAGCACGGCTATTAGCGGCTTAGCGGCTATTAACGGCTTAGCAGCTATTAACGGCTTAGCGGCTATTAAGGCTTAGCGGCTTTAAGAAAAAGGAAACAAACTCGCAAGAACTTGCAAAATGTTTCGTCTTGCGAAGCAAGCCCATAGGGAAATTCGTCTTGCGGAACGACTCAAAAAACGGAAAACCCTTTCGTCTAGCGAGTTTTTCGTCTTGCGAGGCATTCGTCTTGCAGGGCACCACTGTATTTCAACTTTTGGAGCTGCTGTCCTATGGAAGTGAATGCATTACGTGAAACCAAGTTGTGGTCTGAAGTTTTCTGTCAATCACAGAATCCACTCAGCAAGATTTGGTTGAAATGCCTGCTGGGAAGAGTGCTAATGCCTCACAATCTTGAGCTGCTATTGAGAGTTTCTTTTGTCGCTTCTAGGAAGAAACACAGGGCTCATGTCGTTAATGAAAACGCATTAAATAGCGTCAATCTTTTGCACTGGCAACCCACCACTACTGAAAGCCACGACTGGGGCAACCCACACACTTCCCTGTTGCTTTAGTTCTTTCATGAGTCCCATGTTTCCCACCTGGTTTGCCATCACAGTGTGAAAAGAGCAACAATTAATCCCCCCATTTCCTAGGAAACAAGTTCTACCAAGTACCAATTCTGATGGCTTTAAATAACCCCAAAAGTTGAGCCTTTGGGAATCCAATCTGCAGCAGAACTGCAAACTTTACAAAAGTTTTAGTTCCTTTCGGATTTATGATCCAGATTGGAGTGTGGAATTTATGACTTTTTAGTTAGGATTTTAAAAGATGCTTTTTTTAAAAAAAGGTTGATCACTTTAACAAAAAGCCCCTTCTCATAACATCAGAAGTCAACATCTCTTCTCAAAGGCTCCTGTTGACTGTGATACCCTACAAGGAAGGCATTCAGGAACTTACCGTATTTTTCGCCCTATAGGGCGCACTGGCCCATAGGGCACACCTAGGGTTTTTTTGGGGGGGGGAATAAAGGGGGGGAAATTATTTTTTTCCCCCCAGGCTTCCCCCAACCCTAGCCCCCAGAACAGGCTGCTATCCGCAAGCCTGCTATCCGCGGGAGTTCCCGCCGGGCTGCCCAGGCTGCTCAGCGCGCCCCAGGCTTCGGGATGCAGGCTGCTATCCGCAAGCCTAGGGCTCCCAAGGCTTGCAGATAGCTTCCTGAAGCCTGGAGAGCGAGAGGGGTCGGTGCGCACCAACCCCTCTCGCTCTCCAGGCTTCAGCGAAAGCCTGCATTCGCCCCATAGGACGCACACACATTTCCCCTTCATTTTTGGAGGGGAAAAAGTGCGTCCTATAGGGCGAAAAATACGGTAGTTGCCTGATTCCACATGGTGTGTCAAGGAGGAGAAACAGAGCCATTTAATCTGTACACCTTTTAGAGCTGCTTCCCAGCAATGTGCTAGATATTTGAACCTGTACAAAGCCTGAGACAATGATAACTTTATCTGATTCGGATAGCGTGACAGAACCCAGGCGTACCTTTCTCCCAAGAGTCACCTTGGACAAATAGGATGTTGATGGACAAAGTCTGTCTTTGTCTCTGATGATGGAAACTCTGCTTACCACCTTCCAATGATAGAAAAACCCATCTATCCATCTAAATATCAGGAAGAACTTTCTGACAGTAAGAGCTGTTTGACCGACTCCCTCAGGAGGTTGTGGACTCTCCTTCATCGGAGGTTTTTTTTAGCAGAGGTTGGATGGCCATCTGTCTTGGACGCTGTACTTGAGATTCCTGCACTGGACTAGATCAGGCTTCCTAAAACTTGGCCATCCAGATGTTTTGAAACTACAATTCCCATCTTCCCTGACCACTGGTCCTGCTAGCTAGGGAGCATGGGAGTTGTAGGCCAAAAACATCTGGAGGGCCGAGGTTGAGGAAGCCTGAACTAGATTATTCCCATGGTCCCTTCCAACTTCAATTCCATGATTCTATGAAATTAGGTTAGGCTCAAATGGCCAATTATTATTATGCTAATTGAATATCTATGTACCTTGGTTGTCGAACAGAATCCATTCCGGAAGTCCGTTCGACTTCCGAAAACATTTGACAACCAAGGCTTCCTGTATCCAATCGGAAGCGTCAGACGTTTGGCTTCCAAAGAACGCTCGCAAACCAGAACACTCACTTCCGGGTTTGCGGCGTTCGGGAGTCAAAATGTTTGAGTCGCGAGTTGTTCCGAGATCCAAGGTACAACTGTACAGTTTTTGCTGCCTATATTGGGTAGTTTTGTCTTCCAATGGCAGAACCCAGGCATGGCCCATAGGAGAGGGGTGAGGAATTATGTTGTGCTGCAACTCCCATCATCCCTGACCATTGACAATACTGCAATACTAGCTGGGGCTGATAGGAGGCGGTTGCTGGGGTGTTTTGCCTGTTGCAACCCCTCCCCTTAGCCCAGGCATGGCCAAACTTGGCCCTCCAAATGTTTTGGGACTACAACTCCCATCATCTCTAGCTAACAGGGCCAGTAGTCAAGGATGATGGGAACTGTAGTCCCAAAACATCTGGAAGTGTACATTGCTCTGGCAGTGTACATATTGTAGTCCTCCATTGCTCTTGAGACTGTTCTGTTTCATATCTCTTTAATTCAGACATAGGCAAATTCGCCCTCCAGATGATTTGGGACTACAACTCCCATCATGTCATGTTAGCTAGGGATGATGGGAGTTGTAGTCCCAAAACATCTGGAGGGCCGAGTTTGCCTATGCCTGCCTTTAATTCCTCCTCTGTGTCCAACTCAAAATCACCTTTGAAAAAATGGGTCCCATGTACCTGTTAAGCTGAAGGGGATGGTTGCTGTTCCTTTAAAGCTGTCAGTTGCTCCTCTAAAATTTGTGCACGGTTTGACTTGCAATGCATTCCTGGCAGGGGACAGCAACCAACAAAGCATTTTCCAACCATTCTACACCAGCCATATCTGGATCTCCCTGCATAATATTATTTTGTACTCACACAAAAACAACAAACTGGGAGTTTACCCTGCATGTGCTTCAGGAAGAAAACTGACCTTTGTTGGTTGGGAATTTAGTACAGTATGCAAAATGCGACCTTTGAGTCCCCAGGATGCCTAGAATACTCTTTGGGTGTTAGTTAAGGTTATTTCTTTGGTATTGCTTCTAAATTTATCTGATGTCCTCCGCTTCCTCTCAACTCAGCTCTGATTTCTGCTAGAAACATTCCCTAATTTTATCTTCGGATAGTACCTGATTAAATAATGTCAACTAATCATATGCCTTTCTTAAATTAGTCAATTAAATCTGCATACATTTGTGTGTGTTTGTGTGTGTGACATTTTCAGAATTAAGGAAAACACATCCTTTTTTAAATGCTGGGAATTATGTAGCAAAGCATTTTCTCCTGTATATGAGAGAGAAGGGCAAGTCTCCCATATTGTGTATACTTTTTAAAATTCTTATTTTAAAAAAGCAACAGCTGCCAAATTAGTTGGGGGCCATTCTGGTTAATTGGATTATTCAGCCATTACTTCCTTACTACTTCCTTACCTAGTATCCAAGGCCCTAAGGATGAGGTAGTTTATGCTAACCGTGACTGAGCTAGCCCTCTTCCCAGGTTCCATAGCGGATTATTCTGTATAGCCTTCTCCACGATTTTCCCCAACCCTCTTTTAATGCCATCCAAGTTGCTGGCCATCCCTGCCTCCTGTGGGAGTGAGTTCCATAGTCCCACTATTATTATTATTAAAAATAATAACCTGGCACTGAAAATAACAGAGGTGGTGTCAGTCAAAGCTGCCCTGGGAACATGGATGTGGCCAGGATTTTTGTTGGGGAGGGCAAACTTTATGTTGGTTTGCGGGGGGGGGGGGGGCGGGGCGGTGCAGAACCTCTGTTAAAGGTAAAGGTAAAGGGACCCCTGACCATTAGATCCAGTCGTGACAGACTCTGGGGTTGCGGTGCTCATCTTGCTTTATTGGCCGAGGGAGCCGGCGAGGGGAGGCCCAGCCAGATGGGCGGGGTATAAATAATAAATTATTATTATTATTATTATTACAGTCATGTGGCCAGCATGACTAAGCCGCTTCTGGCGAACCAGAGCAGCGCACGGAAACGCCGTTTACCTTCCCGCCGGAGCGGTACCTATTCATCTACTTGCACTTTGACGTGCTTTCAAACTGCTAGGTTGGTAGGAGCAGGGACCGAGCAATGGGAGCTCACCCTGTCGCGGGGATTCAAACCACCGACCTTCTGATCGGCAAGTCCTAGGCTCTGTGGTTTAACCCACAGCGCCACCCGCGTCGCAGAACCTCAGTTAGTTAAGTATTTTCATTTATTTTTATCAATAAAAATCCCTGCCCCCAAGGGCTACGCCCATGCCTGGGAAATTATCTTATATGCTTGGTACAGGAAAGGTTTTCAAAGCAGCGGCCGGAAAGGGCACTGCTCTACATCAAGTGGCAGAGAGTTCCAAAGGGCAGCAACTCTAAGCCAAGCGAGCGGGTTCTTTAGCAGATTGCGGAGCGGGAGTTAACGCGGTATCCCTGTCGTGAGGGGCCCAGCCTGTATCCCCTTCCCCCTCGGCCACCTCCCATCCCTCCAGCAGAGAGCTTAGGGAGAAGTTGAAGCCTCTCCCAACTTCCTTTCTCCTCAGAGAGAGAAAGGGATGCCGGTGGCGGCTGCGCTCCCGGACTAGGCGGGCGGTCGCTATCCCGCGAAGCTTGAGCCTCCCGACTTTCCGTCGCGACCTCCGCCAGCTGAGGCTGCTCGAGCCGCTCTCGCGTCTTCTCCTCGGCGCTCTCGCTGCCCTTTCCCCACCGGTGACGCTGCGCGGCGGGGGGGCGGCGGGTTGGTCTCCGGTGCCGGGTCTGGCGGTTGGACGCTTCCCTCACCATGTCTCGGGTCCTCAAGTCGGTGGATTACGAAGTGTTCGGCCGGGTGCAGGGTGATTATTATTATTATCGTTATTATTATTATTAATAATAAAGGAGGGGGAGGGCGAGTGTATTCGAATTACCAGAAGACAGGGGAAAGGGAGAGAGGGCGCATGCGCGAGGTTCCCTCAGGCTGTGGAAGCTTTCCGAGAGGGGGCGCGAGAAAGGGAGCGAATTCGCATGCGCGAGTACCGTCGCCTGAGGCGCATGTGCGGTTACGGGCAACGTTCGGAGTTCCTCCGCGAGCCAGAAGTGGAGCTTCCCCCTCCCCCGGCTACGCAAGGACTGCTGCGCATGCGCAACGTGCAGAGAAAGCGAAAACGTGCAAGGTGGTTGCTTTGGGTATCTTAACGCCTATTGATTTCGTTGCTTCGATTGTAAGAATTCCCCCAATCCCACACACACACCTTATTTCTTTCTCGTGCTTCGTTTACTGGTTTCAGGAGGAGCATTTCCCCCCGCAGCCTAAGACTGCAACTCTTATTATTTCAAATGGCTTAATAGGGTGGTTGTTATTGCTGTTATTAAGGAGAGGAAATGCAAGAACCTCTGGCACAAAGAACCCTTCAGCGCATATTTCATCAGTGAATAACCTTGCACACTGCCTGGTTGGCTAATTTAAAGTGTTGGTGGTGTTGTTGTTTAGTCGTTTAGTCGTGTCCGACTCTTAAAGCCCTAAATGGCCTCAGTCCAGTACAGTGGTACCTCGGGATGCGAATGGGATTTGTTCCAGAGCCCCATTCACATCCTGAATAAAACGTAAGACGCAACTGTGCGTGCGCGGTCGCGTTTCGCCGCTTCCACGCATGCGTATGACGTCATTTTGACCGTCTGCATGAGCGGCCCTGTTACTTGCGGGTTGCCGCGGGGCGCAACCTGAAAATACCGGTACTTATCCTGAAGCGTATTTATCCTGAGGTATGACTGTATATCTGAAGGAGCATCTCCATCCCCACCATTCTACCTGGACACTGAGGTCCAGTGCCGAGGGCCTTCTGGATGTTCCCTCACTGCGAGAAGCCAAGTTACAGGGAACCAGGTGGAGGGCCTTCTCGGTAGTGGCACCCGCCCTGTGGAATGCCCTCTCACCAGATGTCAAAGAGAAAAACAACTACCTAACTTTTAGAAGACATCTGAAGGCAGCCCTGTTTAGGGAAGCTTTTAATGTTTGATGCATTACTGTTCTTTAATATTTTGTTGGAAGCTACTTAGAGTGGCTGGGGAAGCCCAGCCAGATGGGTGGTGTATAAATAATAAATTATTATTATTATTAACATTGGTAATGAATAAGGGAGAAGCAGAGTAACAAAATGGAGCAAGGGGGAGGGGGAGATTAAAGACGTGTAAACAGGAGCTGTTGTGCCTGTAGGTTAAAGACACATTTAAAGGTAAAGGTACCCCTGCCCGTACGGGCCAGTCGTGTCCGACTCTAGGGTTGCGCGCTCATCTCGCTCAAGAGGCCGGGAGCCAGCGCTGTCCGGAGACACTTCCGGGTCACGTGGCCAGCGTGACTAAGCGGCATCTGGCGAGCCAGCACCAGCGCCACACACGGAAACGCTGTTTACCTTCCCGCTATAAAGCGGTACCTATTTATCTACTTGCACTTAGGGGTGCTTTTGAACTGCTAGGTGGGCAGGACCTGGGACCGAACGACGGGAGCTCTCCCCGCCGCGGGGATTCGAACCTCCGACCTTGCGATCAGCAAGTCCTAGGCACTGAGGTTTTACCCACAGCACCACCCGCAGTGAGACACATTTACTCACAAGCAAATCCAATTTATTTAATTTTATGTTTCTTACATTTAAATTCTGCCTTTCTTCCATCATGGGACCTCCCAAGGCATGTGGTTCTCAGGCAGTCTCCTATCCAGGGACAGAACAGATCTGAACCTACGGTACTTTGCTTCTGCAGAGTGGTGGAGATTATACAGTGGGAAGACATGGAAAAAATTATCTTCTGTATATAGGATCCATAGCTAAAAGGTGGCCAGGATAGAAAGTGTGTGACTAGATGTGAAGAGAATCAATAACATAGAAGTTAAGAATGTATGTACAATGACTTTGGATCCACCATGTATAAATTATATGTTGTATAGGGATCCCCCTGTACCCCTTTCATGAACTTCATTGATCTATCAGCAGGAAAACAAATAACTTTATATCATAAGATGTTGCAGCTTCATTGTTAAATTTATTTGCTTACATAATTCAGCTCATACTGTATACATGAGTTGGAAACCCAATCCTAATCACGTTTACTGTGACACAATTCATCCCGTTACATTCAACAGAGTTTCCTGCATTTCAGGTATCCTTAAATTTGCAGCTTTCATCCACAGGTGCTCAACTAAAGTTATTATGGTGTAAGATACAAGGAATGGTAACTAGTTTCATACACTGGGCAAGATACATCTAAAGAGATATTTAATCCCATTGATTTCACAGGGAAGCAAAGCATATGCCATTTAAAGTAATGGGGCTGTCTGTTCCCTCCTGGTAATTGGCAGTGGGAAGCAGGATAATCAGGGAGGAGAATGGAAAAAGTGAATGCAACAGCACCAGGTAGTGGACAAAAATAATTGCGGCTGTTATGTTTCCTGCACGGTACTGACTTCATCCTTTTCCCCCAGTTGCAGAAAACAGGCTAGTCAAAAGAAAAGCTTTAAAAACGACATTCTCTGGTCTCAGTTCAGCTCTTGTTGCATATAACTATTCAATTATGTTTATTTTATATATCCTGGCTCAGTGAGACTTTCAGGGCAGCTGATACACACATACACAAATCACAAATAAAACCACACAAATGCTGACAAAAATAAATTCTATAAGATTCTTGTAAAAACAAACATTTATTTACTTATTTCATTTTAGATTTACATAAATGTCACACAAACAACTTCAACAAGTAAGCGCATTGATTCTTACCAACCCAGCAAGTAAAATAACCAGCGAACTTTTAAATAATAAAAACAACTGCAACAAAACCTATAAAAGTAGATAAAAATGCCCCCTGCATATGGCTGTGTATCTCCATTAAATTCAGACACATTCATAAAGATCAGTGGCACACAGCTGAGCTTCATGATGGAAACACACTCCCATTTCTACAGCAAATCTATATCTCGCTACATCAGAGGACATAGGAGTTATTCATAATCATCTGATAATTTGCAAATAGTTATATCGAGCACAACAAAAACTTTGTGGCAAACATGCATCACTTACTATCACTGTTTCTGGCAGCCTGTTTCCTGAACATACTAAAATGTTTCTGTACTAGTTTGAATAAAAACATTTATTTATTTTAATGTTCTTTTTATTCTTTCCTAGGTGTCTGTTTCAGAATGGTAAGACAACATGAAGTACATGAATCTTTCATCACTGCTGTATCATATTTCTAAGAATAAAAATAAGGCCTGTGGCCTGTACAGAGACCCCAAGAGTCTATAATGCCAAGTTTCCAAAGCTAATCTGAACAGTTAAGTATTGTGTGCCTGTGGTATGTGTTTTAACGGAGATCCTTTTTTATAAAATGCAGTAGAACCCTGATTTTATGAAAACTAGTTGTATGAACAATACATTTATGAGCCATCTTACTCAACCAGATGAGAAAAAAGCACCATGGTATGTGTGCATGAACTTTAACTTTGTGCAAAGGTCTCATAGACTTACAAGTTTTTGCCCCTTGATCTTCCCGTGGCCCATACTCCCAAATATACAGCATGGAAAGATTACGCATGAGCAACACGCCGTTTTTCACAGTGACCAAGAAACGCAAGCGAACTGTGCTCACTTTCCAAAGCAAAATAGAGATTGTGGAAAGGTTGGAGAAAGGCGAAACAGCAACAGTGTTGGCGGAGGAGTTTGGAATTGGGAAGTCCACAATTTCGCAACTCAAGAAAAACAAAGACACACTCCTGCATTTTGTCTCAACGATGGGCAGCGAAAATGGCAAAAAGAAGCGGAAGACGATGAAATGCGCAAAGAACTCGACGTTGGAAGATGCTCTCTATGCTTGGTTTTCCCACATGAGGAATATTGGCGAGCCAGTCTCAGGCCCACTTCTATGTGAAAAGGCCTTAGAAATGAACAGGAAATTGAATGGCAACCCTGACTTCAAGGCTAGCTCAGGATGGCTGGCGCGGTTCAAGTCTCGCCACGGGATTCACCATCTTGGTGTTCATCATGAGAAGCTTTCTGCTGATCAGCCAGCCACTCAATGCCTCAAAAAAGAATTTACAGATTTCAAAACAGAGGAGGACTCTGACACTGAGAGCATTTACAACACTGTTGTCGTTCCTGGACCCTCACATTCAGAAGCTTACAACGCATTAGAAATAGCTCTGCAGTGGCTGGAAGATCAAGAAGAAAGTGATGTGGTACAGCTCCTGTTTTTGAAAAGCCTGAGAGATTTGGCTGCAAAGAAGATAGCGAATTCTCTCAAACAAAAATAAGATCAGAACTTTTGGCAGCAAGAAAAGACAATAATAAAAACTTGATTCTTGACGTAGTCCCATGATAGATCTGTTGCTGTTGATAATGCACTGTATGACTGAAAAATAAATCAATAAGCATTGCAGTTTGTCTTTCTCACTCAAAGCACTGTAGCTGCTGTAATGCTCAAAAGCACAGTTTTCTGAACTTTATTTTATGAACTCCTATCTCCTCAATTAGTTCATAAAATCAGGTTCTACTGTAAATACTGTAAATGTGGACACATGTTCCTGTTAAAATACAATGCCCTTGAAAACTAGACAAGGCTCTATTCCTCTCTTGCCTCTATTCAAAGCTTGTGGGTGGTCTCTCTCTGGGCCAGATGTCCATCTGATAATTTTAAGTGGTGTTACTGAGAGCTTGTAGATAGCTTGATAATTTCTTTGGAAAATGTTAGCCTTTGAGTCTTGGTCTGAGCAAATGATTTTATTTATATGCTGGTGTTGGAAATGAAAGTAGAGCTCCAGAGATTTGCAAGTGATTTAAGAAATGGACCTTAATGGTTTAATTTCTTTCTTAATAGCTGGGCTCTTTGCAGCTAAGATCCCACCTATTCTCTTTTGCCACTTTTGGACATCTTGGGGGGGGTAGCTTTGGAAACAAAATGATACATGCTTTCAAGATGGGAAGTCGGAAACCATATACAACTGAGCTAATGTTAATTCAGTTTTTCCTTTTTAGTAGATTCCAATGAACTATGCAACATGTTCTGTGTGACCAAAGCAAGTTAATAACTATTCAGATACTAATGAGCTTTGTTCTGGCACATGCAGCACCTTCTCCTTCTCTGTGTCCCGCTATCAAACCCAGAAGTCTTAAATTAACCATAGTTTCCAGTTTTGTCCAAATTAGGAAACTGTGGCGAGCAAGTTGGGAACAAGCCAAGTTCTTACACCAACTTCAAATCACGGTTAGATTCTGGTTTGTTCTGAACTTGGTAACCACGGTTTCCCAGTTGGAACGCCAACAGTGAATGAAAATTAAATGAAGACTTTCTGCCTTATTGCAGCATGCAACTTGTCTTTTTTCCCTTAGTAGTCCAACTTTGTCCTTTTAAACTTAAGATGCCTTGCAAATTATGTTAAGAGGAATATAATAGAAGTGCAAGCAGTGTACTGTAAAAGTATGCAAAATTTTATTTTTAAACAGCAGTGGGAGAATGTAACCTCAAATTCACTCTTCCAAGAAATGCCCCATCATAAAGTTCTAACTGCAGTTGTTAAGCACCCATGTCAACACTTGGATGATCTTACACAGGCATAGGCAAACTCGGCCCTCCAGATGTTTTGGGACTACAACTCCCATCGTCCCTAGCTAACAGGGCCAGTGGTCAGGGATGATGGGAGTTATAGTCCCAAACATCTGGAGGGCCGAGTTTGCCTGTGCCTGATCTTACATCTGTGTTTTAGAAGCCAGATATGAAACAGCCTTTTGGTTTTATACACAACTCCTTTGTTCCTTTCTTTGTTGCACACCTGGATGCAAAGCAAAGATTGCTAACTCACCATAGTTTCCTATTTTGCTGAACCAGGAAACTATGGTGGGCAGTTTCTACACAAGCCAGGATCCTTGTGTAGATGATCCTTTATAAATCATCATTAATAAAGTTGGGTTTTGAATAATGGCTTGTTTCACAGCCAGTAACCATAATTTCTTGGTTTGGATGAAACAGGAAACTCTTGAGATTTCCACAAAATATGACTTTTGGGGGCTGCAACTCCATGTTTGTTGGTCCTCTTGAATCCTTAGGAAAGAAATTGTGCAGAAAGAAATGTGATGTTTAAGGCTGAGCTGCATTATATGATTTCAGATACTGCATAAAATCTGTGTATCTTCTTCTTCTTTCCACCCCCCCCCCCCGTTACCCATAACCCTCAACCAGTATACAGAAGATAAAGCTAGGAAAATGGGAGTAGTTGGCTGGGTTAAAAATACCAGACAAGGGACGGTTACTGGCCAGGTACAGGGTCCAGAAGATAAAGTACAGGAGATGTAAGTACAGCGTTTCCTGAAACGTGTGCTGTGCTGGCTTCACTAACTTGCAGGATTGGTTAAAACGCTTCTGCCGATTAACAAAATGGTTTGGGGAAATGATATTGAAGCTCTAAACTGGACTTCCTCTAGGTCTTAAATGAAACAATTTGCTCACATGGACTTATATTCAACCTTGCGTTAAGTAAGTAGTTCAGTCAAGCCAATGATGTCTGTTAGCACAGTGGAGCTCCCCCAGTCCATGGCACTCCCTGTATCTGCTCTGGGGATCCTCTCAATCCTCTGGATCAGATTTGCGGATGGCGAGAAGAGGGAGAATGTTCCCATTGTGCTAGTGGTAATCTGCACACATGAAACTACAGTGGTACCTCGGGTTAAGTACTTAATTCGTTCCAGAGGTCCGTTCTTAACCTGAAAATGTTCCTAACTTGAAGCATCACTTTAGCTAATGGGGCCTCCCGCTGCTGCCACGCCGCCAGAGCACGATTTCTGTTCTCATCCTGAAGCAAAGTTCTTAACCCGAGGTAATATTTCTGGGTTAGCCGAGTCTGTAACCTGAAGCGTATGTAACCCGAGGTACCACTGTATTACATTGGATACTGCCCTAGATGTGTAAATTAGAGAGATTGGCTCTGTTGTCACTTCCAGATGACCAGCTTATTAAGCATTAGCATTCACCCTAATTCATTTGCTCAAAGTGTGTAGAGGAAGTTAGACAACATTGGCTGTTTATCGAGCATTCATTCTGATGTGTTTCTTGGGGAGGTTTTCCAGCATTGCGTCAAATAATTATTACCCCATACTTTTCGGTGCATTTCCCTGTCACACTTCTTATTGCAAATGTCTGATTTTATTTTATTATTTATCACATTTATATACCACTTTTATCTTCCAAAAATCCCAGGGCGGTGCACATGATTCCCCTCCCCATTTCATCCTTTAGGCTAGGTTAGGCTAAGAGATGGTGACTGGGCCATTTGCTTCATGGCCGAGTGGGGATTTGAAGCCTGCTCGCCCAGTGTTGTGCAACAGCTCCATATCTGCTTTAATTGTACCACCTGGATTTGCTGGCATATGACTGAATCCCGCCTGAAAATAGCAATGGCTTACAAGCGCCCAGAGACAGAACGGTCTCTCGCCAAATGGTTTACTATTAAGGGAGCCAGCATAAATGCTGCAGCTGTGGCTTCCGTTTATGGAGGTGACATGTGACTTCTGAGGACGCCCACCTTCCTAAACAATCTGAAGTCTGCCCAAGCCCTGCAGAAAGAGGGGCTGCTGATAGAAGACCACCTTAGAGCTTTCATTTGCTAGCCACTGAAGGATTCCTATTAAGAGTCCTCCTTCCTTTGTTATATAGCTGTTTCCAGCTTTCTAAAGCGCAGGAGACGGGGATCTTTGGACAACCAGCCCATGTCTCTTGGCCCCAAGCAAAGGATGGCGTTCAAGGTGGAGTTGGGGCCTGCTGAGATCCCTTTTGGTTTGGGAGCTTGCTGATGACATCGTAGGCAAGCACATGTGATCTTTGATGAGAAGTTTGGACGCAATCATCTCCACACACCCCCATTTGGCCATACATCATCAGTAGCCCCAGTCGTGCCTATGGGTCAAGCCTAAGCTATAGGAGTCAGAAGAAACAACGTGCGGAGCTTTTTCATTGGAAAATATTGCAGAGCTGTTTGAAGAATAAACTGAATCTGCACCATAGGGAGAGCAGGGGCTCCATAGAGTTCTGAGTTCCATAGAGTTGTTTTTGCAAATAGCCTGATACTTTCCAGATATTTAGACTGCAACTCCCATCAGCCGAGATCGATACACATCTGTGTGATTATTTTGCATGATTTGTCCTGCTGTTTTTACTATGGATCATTGTTTACTTTGGTTGTGATAATTAATCTAGTGGGTCAAGGAACTGTGCTTGGCACAGAAGTTCCAGCCCCAAACACTGACAATTGTATTCACACACCCCTCTGACCTCATTCATCAGCTGCTGCTCACACGCTTTTGAACAAATCTTCAAAAAATGAGGGATAGAAACTTGGTGGGTTTTTATTAAGTTGCACCCCAAACCACATTCTGAATTTCTGCATATTCATGGCATACATGCATTCATTATATAGCAGGCATAGTCAATATGGTGTCCTCAAGAGAATATTTGACTCCAACTCCCATCATCCACAGCCAAGATGGTTCCGTATTGGCTATCCCCAAAGAACATCCTGGATGGCCTGGGATGGATCCTGAATAACTTGAGCAGTCCTGCTGGGAGGTGAGGGTGCAGTCCCTTTTGTTGCCGGTTCCTCTTATAACGGTGTAAAAACAGAACTCCAAACGTGGCCAGGTGCCAAGACAAAAAGGGTGAGGGCAGAGGGTGGAGACTTGTTAGTCTAGTACTTGGAAGGAAGAAGACGAGAGTACTGAGTAATGCTGGGGAAACGGAATACAATAAATCAAAGGCATTCTAATTCTGTTGTGTAAGGCTGATTAGAGGCAATTAGTTTGGTAGAAAGGCTGTATTTCTGCCAAGATTGCTGATCGTTTCGCATAATACGTGATGGGGCCGTTAATTTATGTGTTGTTTTGATTTCAAGATAGGAATGTCATTTTTTTATTTTTTTTTGGTCTGGGGACGCAGATAAAGACCCAGAGATACAGTACTTTTAAAAAGGTGGTGGAGCAGCTTTTAAATTGATTGCATGGGGGAAGCCAAGAGGAGCTGGTTCAGAACAAATCATCAGGTTGAGGGGGAAAATATTTATGATTGTTCAGGTGTGGGTGAGGTAGAACTAGACACTTAGAGGGCAGGAGCACACAGCAGCAATTCAGAGAGCCAAAGCTCTGTAGGGTAAAATGCATGTATCACACACATTGGGAGAGAGGCCAATGCTTGAAACTTCCAAGCCAAGATGTGTGAGTTGGAGGGTTGGGTCTTAAGAGAAGACATAGATGAAGGGCATAAAGGAAACTTCGTGGGTTGGAGAACCAGTAGGACACGGTTATCTCTGAATATAAACTCCATAGGAAGGGACAGAGAAGGGCATTCTGGAGGTGCTGTTGCTCTGTATGTCAAAGAGGAAGTTTGAAACCCCACAGAATCGCTGTGGGTGGTGATACCAGGATCCAGGAATAATTGAGGAGGCATGTTGTCCTGGCTGAAATGCTCAGGGTCACCTCGAGATGGAGAATGAAAACGAAGAAGCATCCTAAAGAGGAAATGCTGGAGTAATGGTTGAACTTCAGTTCCCCTCAGCTACCCTGGACTTATAAGTGGCACCCAGGAGCTGATGCAAGCTGTAGGTGTTGTTAAACTGATATTGAGCACAGCACTATCTGATTTAACGGATATGTATAAAATCGTAACTGTAGAGTTGGAAGGGACCCTGAGGGTCATCTAGTTCAGTGTTTTTCAACCACTGTTCAGCGGCACACTAGTGTGCTGCGAGATGTTGCCTGGTGTGCCGTGGGAAAAATTGAAAAATTCGAAAGATGTTTTTTTTTTTTAAATGTCACATTTTCGCCCACTAGGCGGGCGCCGGACTGTGTCCACCCTATTTTCCATCCGTCCTGGGTGGGGATCAGATCGGATGGGATCGGATGAGATCGGACAGGCGGTCCGCTCTCATCCGATTCCCCATAGAGAGCAGCGGGGCTCTGACATCTCCCTCTCCGCACACAGTGGTGGAGTGCCTCATGATTTTTTTCATGAAACAAGTGTTCCTTTGCCCAAAAAAGGTTGAAAAACACTGATCTAGTTCAACCCTCTGCAATGTAAATGGACAGTTGCCGAGAAAATGCGAGAATGTTGATCTTCTAACAAAAATACGAACCTTGTCTTAAAGATCACACTCTGAGGACTGGAAAGCGGGACAGCAATTTTTGGAAAGGGATTTTGGGGAATCCGGGAACTTACGGTTTGTTTAGCATAACACCTGTTTTAGGAAAACTGATGGGAAGTATTATTGAACATAAAATTAGAAAGCTTATGGATAAACAAGTCTTGCTGAAGCTGAGCTAGCATAGCTTCTCCAAGGACCTAACTTTCTGAGCTCTAGGTGGAGCTGTTTGATGGGTAATGGTAACATGCACCACACTTCTCATTGATGTTCACCTATTTTTAGCTGCCTCCTGAGACAATCTCTTCTTTCCCTGCAACATGGGATCTTTCCTCCTACTGCGTCTTAATAGTCCCTGTGTTGCCAATCAAAAAGGGCCATAGCTCAGTGGTGGAGCGTCTGCTTTGCTTGCAGGAGTTCCTAGTTTCAATCTCCGGGTAAAAAAATGGTAAAGGTAAAGGACCCCTGGACGGTTAAGTCCAGTCAAAGGCGACTATGGGGTTGCGGCGCTCATCTTGCTTTCAGGCCGAGGGAGCTGGTATTTGTCCACAGACAGCTTTCCGGGTCATGTGGCCAGCATGACTAAACCGCTTCTGGCACAATGGAACACTGTGATAAAAACCAGAGCGCACGGAAACACCATTTACCTTCCCACCACAGTGGTACCTATTTATCTACTTGCACTGGTATGCTTTTGAAATGCTAGGTTGGCAGGAACTGGGACAGGGCAAGGGGAGCTCACCTCGTCGTGGGGATTCGAACCGCTGACCTCCTGATGGGCAAGCCCAAGAGGCTCAGTGGTTTAGACCACAGCGCCACCCGCGTCCCCTTATCTCCAGGTGGGAGTAGGAGAGAACCCGACCTCAAATCCTGGAGAAGCTTTGCCACTCAGTGTAGACAGTACTGAGCTAGATTGACCAATGATCCGAACAAGCAGCTTCCTAAGAGAAGCAGCAGTTATTAGTGCCCCTTTATGGGGAGATCATCATGGTAAATATATCACTACAGCAGAATGCTGTCACAAGCAATACAATGTGCACCTTTCTGCTCCTTCTTTTTCTTAGGGGCAGGGCATTTCAGAAGGGACGTCTTTTATAGATCAAGGAGAGGATACTGGACTCTTGCATCACCTAAATGCCACCTGTTTCATGTCCTTTATTATTGCTA